ACTTGTTGGATGTATTCTCATTAATCTTGCCATTAAGTGGTGTTTTACTACTTGGTGACTGTGTACATCTTTGTGTGCAATCTTCATCCATAACCATGGCCATAATTTGCAGGGGTATGCCCATAATTTGAGCATTCCGGTAGTTGGTTATAACCACAATTAGGTGGTACCAACCTGGGTTCACCTCAGTCTTGGAGGGTATGCAAACAATTTTCACGGGCTGTTTCCCGGGTATAAATGCAAGTTGGGCGCTGGGACTGGGTATCACGGGTATTCCCCTGCTTTAAATGCGGTACAGATGCAATTTCCCCTAACAACAAAGGCAAAAGTTTCTCAAAGGATTTTTTTCTTTTCTTTTCTTTTCTTTTTGTTCTCAAAATCTTCAGTTGGGACACTTGCTTTGGAAGTGACCTCCACCTCCCCCCCCCCAAAAAAAAAACCCAACTAACAAACAAACAAACAAAACGACTTTTGAAGGTGGTAGGTAGGTTTTGTTTTTTAACAACAAGAGATAAGAAAAAGGGTAAGTTTCAAAAATAGCTCGTCTAAAAAAAAAAAAACAAAAAAAAAAAAAAAAACGAAGCGCATCGCTGCCATCGCGGTAGTTTCACAGCACAAAAAAAATGGCGGGGCCCAAGTTTCATTCCAAAAAAGATATCTTTCGTTCGAAAAATATATCTTTCCTTGCAGCTTTAGACTCAGGAGTCAGAACGCAAGATATCTTTCACAGCAAGGAAATAATATTCGCAGGGGGGTCCCACTTTTTTCCTTGCAAAAAAAAAAAAAAGATCTTTCGGACGCGTACAACGTTTCTGCTGCGAAACTTCGAAAAGCGCTATTTGCGCAGTTACCCCTAAGAAAAAAGGGACAACTTTGGGAGGCGATCAGAGCAGCCCCGCAGCAGGTTTGTGTCGAGTCTATTTAACAATTTGAGCCGCCCACTCACAATCACGGGCAGCGAAGAAGTGTTCATGACCTATAACATCATTTTGTGGGAAATCGAAACTTTTTTTTTTTTTTTTTTTTTTTTTAACGGGGGGTGCGGGGGGCGCGGAAATCAAGACGAATCTGATGGCCAAAAGGATCCAAAGAAAGAGCACAGTCACACGAGGACATTCCTCGATGTATCTGACTGCAGTTACGCGCAGTCCTGGATGTACCTGACCGAGATTGTGGCCAACCTGATGGCAAAAAGGATCCAAAGACACAGAGCACAGTCACACAAGGACTTTCCTCCATGTATCTGACTGCAATTACACCCAGTGCTGGATGTATCTGACCGAGATTGCGGCCAAGGATCAGTTGAAAAAGTCTTCTTGTTAGTATGCTGTTAGGGTCTCATTCGGCCGACCACCATGTTTTGAAACTTGTTCATCAAGATCTGGCCATGTGTGCTCTTTTTTTTTTTTTTTTTTTCCCTTATATATGCGTCTTTCATTTCTTTCCGAGGGTCTGGTTGCATGCAGTACTCCCCTTCACCCGCTAACATTTTGAATGCATCTGGACTCAAATTCGTCCAGATGCACTCGAAATGTTGGCTGATGGCGAGTAGTGCAACTAGGCGCTGAATAGAAAAAAAAAAAACAGTAAATCCGGATGGGAATCAGATGAGTGAAAACAACCCTGAGTTTACCTGGGGACGGTCAGTTCGCTGATGATATCTTTTTTTTTTGAGGAAACTGCTCCGGAGTCACACTTTAAGTTTGAAATAGGCAAAAAAAAAAAAAAAAAAAAAAAAAAAAAGTTTGAACTTGGCAGGAAAAAACACAGCATTGGAACTTCAAATCCTGTCTCTTATACACATCTAGATGTGTATAAGAGACAGGCTGTGTGGCACTCGAAATTAGCACTTTATTTTTAGCTGCTAGTGGGTGAGTACAGTACTTTGACACGCTACGGGCTTCGAACCGAGGATGTTTG